AGGGTGTGGGCATGCGTAGGTGGGTATACCTGAGCTGAGAGACTGATTTATAAGGGTGGTGCAGCAGAGTGTGGTGTGGTGGTAGTGCGGTGTTGAGGGTGGAGGAGTGGAGTGTACGGAGGAGTACAGCGACTACAAACAACAGGCGAAGAGCATGTGGCTGCTAGAACCGTTCATAAACCTACCCGGAATGGGTTGGTTGCTTTACAACTGGCGTAGACGGCAGGATGGTTCAAAGCAGGACAGCTCTACGCAGACGAAACCCTTTGGAATCTGGGGAGGGATTGCCGGATGGCCGGCCACAAGCAGATGGTACTCGGTGGCCAACCTGCTCGCCCAGTGGGCACCTCCCCAGGAATGGTCAGAGGTAGATGGATTCCGGGGCAGTTGGAACAGGCCCTGTATGAAATAGAAGAAACCCTGAATGGATGCAGTGCCCGCGAGGTGGCAGGAGCCGTGGGATGGGTATTTCTCACAGCTCTGCGAGAGTCCAGGCAGAAAGAGCAATCCAGAATCCAGCAAGTACGGGATGAGATGTGAAAAGAGATGTGGATACTGCAACAACATTTGAGAATTCTGGAGGAAGACGTTCGGAGAAACCGACCCACCCTTCCGGAGATGCCAGACTCCGTTTCAGGAAGGAGGGAGAGGGAGGCTGGCCCTTTGCCCAAATTGCAGCCGGTGGTGGCCAATCAACCTGCAACTCCAGAGATGCCAGACCCCTCCCCAGGAGAGGAGGAGAGGGAGGCTGGCCCTTTGCCTGAGTCCCAACCGGCGATGGCAAACCAACCTGTGACCCCGGAGATGCCGGACTCCTCTGGAGAGGAGGAGGCTGGGCCTATGCTCTGGGCCCGCCCGGTGGTGGCTCAGAAAATGAAACTGCAGCAACCCATGGCCCCAGGGGGGTCAGGCTGCGGGACCACCACAAATGACGGAATTTACTACCTATCAACCATTCACCCAGGCGGGACTGGTGGACTTGGGCAAACAGTTCCGCCAGAAACCAGAGGAACCCTTGGCAGCCTGGCTGCTACGTTTTTGGGACCCTGGGGGAGGATGCTATTGTTTGTACACCCCAGGAGATGGGAATCTGGGGGTGACCAGTGGGTCTTGATGGCCAGGGGCAGCCTGCGTATGCCCAGCAGCTAGGCGGAGGAGAAAAGCCAACTGAGAAGGCAAAAGCTGGTACTGATACTAAGTTTGAGAAGCCCTGAGTGGCTGTTAACAGCCTAAGTATGCTGAAGACCTGTGAGTCTCTTAAAAGCACCTGTGGGTGATGCCCTGCTCGTTGTCGAGTGAGGGTGAGGAGCTGAGGAACCCGTCCTTGGGGGACAGGTGGGGAACGTGGCTTGGGGTGGAGCCCAAGCTGAAGAGGGGACCCAAAAGAGGCCACATGTAGAGTTTGGATCCCCGACCCATGTGCTTGTGCAGTGGGTTGGCCTGAGTGCAGGGGTCTGCGAGTCGCATTGGTGGCTATGAAGGCCGAGTGTTGGAGCGACTGCAGACAAAATCCCGGAGGGTTGGCGATTACCCCCAACAGTATAGAATCGCCAATCCCAGAGCGAGTGCATCCTGGGGGTGGATGCTGTGTGTGGCTTGTAGCCAAGACTACAGCCAGAAAAGGCCAGGAAGCCTGACGGCTCCTGGCATGTTACAGTAGATGCCGTGAATGGTTCCCCTCTCTCGTATGAGCAGTGCCTTCGGCAGCAGATTTGGTGGCTCATCTGCTGGTACCAATAATTGTCTTTTGCACTAGGTTGGGGCCCTACCTGGACTTATTTGTGTTCTGTTGTATTTTGTTGTTATATTGTGATGTATTTGCTTTTGTGGGCCATGGCTGCATTGTTTATGTTTGCTAAGAAAATTGTATATATGTAGATTGTATGGCAGAAAACCCTGAGGGGGTGGACTGTAGGATGAGGAAAAATGTCAGGCTTTTCTGCCCTCCTGCCATCAAGATAGATGATGGATCCTTGCGGTCCTGAGTGCATGCCTGATGGCAGGCACCTGGAGTAGGGTGTGGGCATGCGTAGATAGGTACACCTGAGCTGAGAGACTGATTTATAAGGGTGGTGCAGCAGAGTGTGGTGTGGTGGTAGTGCGGTGTTGAGGGTGGAGGAGTGGAGTGTACGGAGGAGTACAGCGACTACAAACAACAGGCGAAGAGCATGTGGCTGCTAGAACCGTTCATAAACCTACCCGGAATGGGTTGGTTGTTTTACAGTCCCTAACACTGGTCTTCACTGTCGCCTCATGTGCCACTATCCATAACCATACACGTGTTGTGCTTTCCTCACCCCAGATGTGCAGCACACTGGCATTTTCGGTGAACACACCAGAACCTTTTTCCAAGAGTGGTTGGAGCACTCTGTTTTTACACATCAAACTGTCCCACAGGCGGAAACTGCCTGATTATCTGGCTAAGAGAATAAATGGTGTTTGCCTGGATTAAGTGATATAAATATGAGCTTTTAAATGATTTTTTTCTTTTATTTTTTGTCATACTGCGCAGTTCTAGCTTTTTGTTTCATCCCTTAAATAAAAGGTAAGAAAATATAACTTACGATTTTTGTAATTTTTTGTAATTCTTGTTTTTTTAAACAGATGTCATTAATATACAACATTATGCTAGTTTCAAATATACAAATTAATGATTGGATATATGGATGTATTGTAAATCATCATAATAAGTCTAGTTAATACTCATCACCAAGTATAGCTGCAACTTTTTTTCTTATAATGAGCTCTTTGAAGATTGACTCTCTTAGTAAATTTTATATCTACGATACAGGATAATTAACTCTAGTAACCAGCAGTACATAACATCCACAGGAATTGTTAGTTTTGACTACCTTTACCTATTTCACCCACCTTCTATTTCCCACCTCTCACAACCACTTACCTGCTCTCTGTATCTATGAGGGTTTTTTGGTTGTTGTTGTTTGTTTGTTTTAGGTTCCACACATAAGTGAGAGCATATAGGTAGTTATTGCTATCTGACTTACTTAGTGTAATGCCCTGTTGTGTCCACACTGTTGAAAATGCTAGGATTTCCTTCTTTGAAGTTGGAAGATTCCATTACACACACACCATAGTTTTTCTTTACTCATTTATCCATCAGATATTTAGGTTGTTCCATGTCTTGGCTATTGTGAATAATGCTATAAGCAATTCTTTTAAATCACCATCTTGTTTAGGCTTTTCTATACATGGGAGAGGTATTGATTTTTAGCTGAGAGAAAACCTTCATGTCATCATTATTTCAGTTACCACTGGGCCCTAAATCTTAGATTTCTCCCTATTAATTATTCCCTTTTTATGTTAGACATTTCCCATTACTTAATGCCATTATGTCTGCCATTCCTTCCTGTTACCACCACTTGTGTCCAGGCTCTCACCATGGACTCTTAAAATAGTCTCCCCCTTCTAGGGCTCGCTTGAAAATAGTACTTCGAATATTACTCTGTAGCTTCAGAATTTTGAATTGTGTCCTCCCCCCCACCGCCCCGCCCGTCACCCCCCACTTCTCTGTCACTGCATTGCCGGAAGGGTAAATCCAAATTCCCTAACATGGATGTCTGGCATCCTTTGAATTTACCTCTACTATCCTGCACACACATTGCTCTAGAAAATCTGTTTTTGTTCAGCATTAAATCATACAGCTAAGATTTTCTAAGTTCTTGTTTTGTGCTATGTGGTTTACTGAACTTGGAAGAGCTAACCAATAAGCGAACTATGCCTTCTACAGAACCCACAGTTTGGTAAGACGTGCAAAAGTATGTAAAGGCAGTTTGTAACCCAGTGTGGTGCTAAGATAGGGTAAGTACAGAGTGCTGTGAGAATGCTATGGGAACCCTGAGCCAAAAAATAGAGGTGGTCAATGAATCTAAAAGATAAATAGATGTTATCTGGGATAAAGCTTGGGATTGGAGTGCAGTGTTGGTGGGGGCCTCTGTCAGTGGAGGAGTGTTTGCATCTAGCAGGGTAGATGCTGAATAAATGCATGTTGGATCGATGAATGTGAATGCCCAGAGGTGAAAGAGATGATGGAGAGAGTGGCGGAAGATAAAAATATTGGCGAAATCAGATCAGGGAAGTAGTTGGTGTTATATCCTTGAAACAGTAGAGAACTTGTGATTATGTTTTTCACATGGGAATTGTTTGGCTAGATTTGTATTTTGGAGAAATCCTTCTGCGGAAGATGCATTGGAAACCAAGGTGATTCTGTGCTATAGAGACTGGTTTGTTGCATGGAATATGAAAATAGAATCTGAGTAGAGAGAAATATTGAAGAGGTGTAATCATTAGGATGAGGTGATTGATTGAAGGTGAGGAGTGAGTGGAAATGATACCTACATTTCTGCTTTGGGTAACTCGTGCCACCAATTGAGATGCAGAAGGTGATGCAGTTCACCTTATGTACTGTGATCTCTGCATTTTTGTCCCTTTGTGGAATCTATTATTGTCTTCAAAGTTTCTCTTCACCACCCCAGTTTGTGATGATCACTCCTTCCTCAAAATTCCTGGTCTAGTTTGCATTGTCTGCCAGTGTCTGTCATCTGCTTATCCAGCTCTTGCCCATGCTTTCTCTTGCAGCTTTCCGTCATGTGTTTCTACCTGCCTCATGATTTGAAGTCTTTGAGTATAGTTTGTCTTGTACTCCAGGATGAGGTCTGACTGGAATCATGATGATCTTTGCTGAAAGCTTTTAAAGCTCATCAAATGTAACTTCTCTTACTCTCCTAGAAATCTTCTGTTCTATTTTGCTACCTTTTAGGAAAGAAAAAAATGGAGCCTCACTCTATCTACTAGAAAGCTCAAATTCTAAAAGATTCCCCCTCCCTCTCTCCTTCCCTTAAGGGTTTACTGAGATCTTACTTGTGTCAGATACTCTACTAGGGGCTGGAAATATAAAGGAAGAATAATGCATTGGTTTTTTGATGCCAAATAGTTGAGTCAACATCTGTTATACCCATTTCTCTGTCCTAATTTCAATTCAGACTCATGGCAAAGGAGGGAAGAAAGTCATCCAGACTGATGAATGGAGGAATGGCCCTGTTGAAGAACGTCTTGAGTATGCCCTCGTAAAGGTGAGCTATGGGAGCAGTGAGTGGGTGGGCGCTAGAGGAGCAGAGCTGCTAGCAGCTGACAGAGGAGACTGCTTAGACCATTCCTGGATGATTTTACCTCCATCTCGCCTCTGACACAGTTGACAGAGTCCACAAACGGTTTTGGTTGTCCCAGCTGGGTGTGGCAGGTGTCACAGGCACCCGTTGGCCAACGGTTCTGCTAAATATCACATAGTGCACAGGATAGATCTGGACAACAAAAAATTGTTCACTTCAAAGTTAGTAGTGCAAAAGATGAGAAATACACAGTATTGGAAGTTGTGGAACACATCCAAGACCATTGAACTGGGGGTGCTGCTAGAGAACTAGGGCTTGAGTGAAGGCTGGGTAAGTCAATAGAGGTTTCACACATTGCAGCTTCATCAAAGGGTCTCACCCGTGGTCATTCTCCCTCTAGCCTGCTGACATTATAATGAAAAAACATGCTGATTTCATAGGGGATATTTATTAATATATAATTGATTAAACTGCTAAGATAAAAAGCATGTTTTACTGTTAATTTGAACTTTACATATTATTCCTTTTTTTCACTTATTCTGGCCACTTACTGTGTTTCAGTAAGACCAGTTAAGGACTTAGGGTTGTCTTCTTTAATCCTTAAAATAAATATTTGAAGTAAGGTACTCGGTGGTATTTTAATTTAGGAATCTGAGGCCAAATAAATTGCCTAAATTAGTGATAGAAATAAGGATATGAGGGCCTCCCTGGTGGCACAAGGGGTTAAGCACCACACTATGAAGCAATCCGAAGCCTCTGCAGCACAAGTTTGATCCCTGGCCAGTCAAGGAGCAACCCACCTGGTGCAGCAGACCTCTCCTCACTCGCCTGCTGCTCCCTTCAGCAGTTTATTTCAGTCAGTCTGCCTGTTCTGTTCCCCACTCTGTCTCTGGTGAATCCTCTCACCCCGCGCACCATATCTCTGGCCTGTACCCCAGCTCTTGTATGCATAAATAAATCTTAAAAAAAAAAAAGAAATAAGGATATGAACCCATTAAATCTGATTCCAAAATTCACACTCTTTAAGCATTTTCTTAATTCATTCTTTGTTGGCTGTTTGGACATAACCCATTTTTTCATGTGATTTTTTTTTTTCCCCTAATTTTTTCATAGGGCATTGAAAAGCATATTATTGAGGATACTGAGGAAGCCCGGTTAAATCGTGAAAAATATCCCCGACCTCTTAATATCATTGAAGGGCCTTTGATGAATGGTATGAAGATTGTTGGTGATCTTTTTGGAGCTGGAAAAATGTTTCTTCCTCAGGTGGGCAAAAGGCAGAGGGCAGGGGGGGATTTTTGCAGTTGAAATAAAAGGTCTTTGTTCTTTCATAAATAGTAAGTTTGGATATGTTTCTCAGGTTTGAATTTTGGCAAGAACTTAGGGGCATAGAAATCTAGTCATTAATCAAATGCATTTAGGAGTAATCTGGAAAAATGCATCTTTAGAGAGGATGTGATAGTAGTATTCTGAAAATTCTCAACATTCTAATCTTTCTGTTCTGCACATCACTTATCCTCAACATGCTCTTCCCCAGCCCCATCTCAAATTAAAATTAAACCCAAGTTAATAATACTAATATTTGATTTGACCAGTGTTTTAAGGATGAGTATTTTGAAAAAAATCATTACCATTTTAAATAGTGATGTACATTAAATAATATTTCAAGTAAAACCACAACCCTTATTTTGATCTACAGAGGCTACATCAGTGAATAAATACCACTGAGCCATCTGGGTTTGCAGCTCTGAACATACGAATGCTAAAAGACCCTGTTCTTTTTCTTTTTTTATTTACTCATTTGGTATTTAATTATTGATAGCCCATTTCCCCTTAGAACATTCATCCCTCACTACAGCTTGGTTATTTTATAATTAGCATTTAATAAACTGCACATATTCCAGAGATATAATTTGGTAAGTTTTAATACATATACACTTGAGAAACCATCACCACAGTCAAGAAAAGGAACATTTCATTGTCCTGTCTTCTTAGTCTTCTCCAGCATTTGTTCAGTCTTGGCTTTTCATGATGTTGACTTATTTGAATGTTTTGTTTTGAGTTGACTTAGAGTTAACCAGTTGCAAATGCAGCTTATAAGTGTTCTTATCTCTCTCGTACAACTTCTTCTCTTACGGGTAACATTTTACATGGCCATAGTACAGTGATCAGAACCAGCAGCTAACATTGGTCTAGTACAGTTCACTAAAGACTTTATTCAGTTTTCACCAGTTTGTCCATAGTTCTCTTTTTGTCCCAGGACCCCAATTGCTCTTATCCTGTCTCTTCTAGCAGTTCCTCGATCTTTCCTTTAGACTTTTGACTTTTGAAGAATTCAGTACAGTATAGTTTGATAGCTGTAGACTAGCCCTCACTCTGAGTTTGTTGTTTTTTTTATTTTTGGTAAAAACCCAAAGCACTCAGCATTCAGAGTGATGCTGTGCCTTTCTCAGTTTATCATATCATGCCTGTTGTGTTGCTGCTCATTAACTTTGATCATTTGGTTAATGGCGTCTGCTGGGTTTCTCCACTGTAAATTTACTTGGAGAAACTTTGAGTCTGTGTAAATCTCCTATTTCTCATACTTCCACCCAAGAATTTTAGCACTCATGATGAACTATTCTTACTAAAGCAGAAGACTTACTATTCTTACTAAAGCAGAAGACTTAATAAGAAACGAATTATGATCCTAGGGATTGAGAAGAGAAGGCTGTGAAGGGCTCATGGTAGAGAAGTATGAAACTTAAAGCATGTATAGAACTTGGAGAAGTGAGCTTAGGCAGAGAAAAAAATAACATGCAGAAAGAGTTGCAAAGAATAGAAATTGCAGCATTTGATTTGATTTCTAGCCTTGTGTTCCTTCCCATTTGTTGGCTTTCCCCACAGGGAATTCATTCCTCATCCTTTGTACCATCCAAAGTGGACTCCAGTGTGGTTGACCTGAGATCAAAGCTCACACTCTTAAATTTGTACTGAAATGTCTCCAGTGGCCATTAGTAGCCATTCAGCTTGTTTGGTAAAGGTCCCTGACTCTGTGTATTCTTTCCAGGTTATAAAATCAGCTCGGGTCATGAAAAGGGCTGTTGGCCACCTTATTCCCTTCATGGAAAAAGAAAGAGAAGAAAGCAAAGTACTTACTGGAACAGTAGAAGAAGAGGCAAGTCATTTTGTCCAAGCCTGTGGGTTCTGTGATGAATTGACCCTGAAGTCTTATTGTTTTGGGGAGTAGTGACTTAAGCCATAGGGCTTAGCCATGCTTGTCATGGAAGATAAAATAGAGAAATGAGCTAACTCTTTTCTCAAGAACCAGAATACACAGGGATTTTCCTTTGAATGTGGCTTTATGAAATTTTTAATATGAACATAATTTTTCCTACAAAGCCTATAACTTCAAGACAAAACCAATTCATTCATTCAGCTCTGTGCCAGGGACTGTGCTTGACACTTTACCTATAAAGACTAGTCCCTGTCCTTGAGGAAATTGAGTAATGTTTGGTTTTGGGAAATCTATTAATTGAATATTCTCCGTATGCTGGTAATGTCCTTGGCACTACTTCTGGATTCAATTTAATTCTTTTTGGCTGCACCACCATAGTAAATCACCATGCTTTTGACCTTGTTTAGCTCCCTGTGAAGCTCAGTCAGCTTTGGCCCCTAATTCTGAAATCTTAAATTGATCTGAGTTTGTGAATGACTCAGAGATGTAGTGTTTATAAAAATCCCTCATACATGCCTTTTCTTTTCCTTTTTTTTTTTTTTTTCTTGAAGGAGCAGGGATGCTAACAGCATACTGTACAAGTGTTAAAGAAATAAGAAGGATTAGGTCTCCCCAGTGGCACAGCAGGTTGAGCGTGGTGCGGTGAAGCTTTCCACAGCTTCTGCAATGCTAGTTTCATTCCTGGCCAGCCCAGGAGCTACCTACACGGCACGGCAGACCTTTCCTGTCTTGCCCGCTGCTCCCCTCAGCAGTGCTTTCAGTCTTTCTACCTGTTCTGCTCCCTGCTCTGTCTCTGGTGAATTCTCTCACCCTCCCCCCACCTGTGGCGTGTACCCCAGTATTTGTTTAAATTAAAAAAAAAATCTTAAAAAAAAGAAAAAAGGATCAAATGCCCCTCTGTATTACATTTGCCTATCATAGTTGTTCAGATTCTGATGAGACACATACAATTCCTTCTTCTCTGCCCTCCTTCTACCCTTTACTGCTAACAATAAACATTTGTCAGACAAGCTTTTTGACTAAGGATATGGTCTTCAACTATAAGATTGTTTTGTATTTGAACTTAAGTTATTCTTTGTGATGCTGGAACCCAGGAGCTTGGTTGAAGCCCACTGAACTAACCAACTAATAATTGGGCTTAGTGTTCTACTCTTAGAACCTATGATTAGTGTTCTAGATCAGTCTTGAGGTTGTCTTGGTTATATGAAACTGCTTTCTGTGCTGACACCTGACTAGCTCTAGAGAACTTGGTGATCTACTCTAAAATGACCACAGCAATGCTTAGTGACTTGACTTTGACTTACTCTCCAGGACCCTTATCAAGGCACTATTGTGTTGGCTACCGTTAAGGGTGATGTGCATGACATAGGCAAGAACATAGTTGGAGTAGTCCTGGGCTGCAATAATTTCAGGTAAGACCCACCTCTTTCAACCCCTTTCTTATTAGAAAATAAAAGCATTAGTAGGACAGTTCTTTGCCTGGGGAGAGGAGGGTGGGAGAAGGTAGTGTAATGCAGTGGGTGTTACAGGTTATTTTAAATTTCTTTTCCTTACTATATTTTTGAAGTTTTTATATTGAGCACACTTTTTTCAAGTTAAATAAGTTCATAATTAACTTCATCAATAAATGTCAAAAAAGGACCAAAAAAAAAAAAATTAGTAAACACTATTCAACCAACATCAAAACAACCAAGAGGCTTCTTTGAGAATTGCCATTGTCCCAGAGGTTCTAATAGTTTGAATACTGGGCTCTCTCCCCATGGTCTGTGATGTTGAACATATTCTTTTTTTCTTTCAATAAACTGCCATATTTTAGAGCCAGATTTTTTTTTTTATTCTTTATAATTGTATTGTTTTTTATTGAGGTAATGTTGGTTTATGACATTGTATATGATTTATGGGTATAGGTTCACACTTCTTTTAGGTCGATATATGTTACTACGTCCCACCCATCACCAAAACATCCCTAATCCTCTACCACAGTCCCTTTGGGCCCCTTTCCTTCCCACCTCCACCCTTTCCCTCTGCAGCCTTAGTTCTGCATTCAAATTTCTAGGATTTGTTTTGTTTTAGTTTTGTGTGTTCCTTGAATTTGTTTCTTTATATTCCACATGTCAGAAATCTTCCAGTATTTCTTTTAGAACTGAGATCTTATAAGACTTTGGCTAAATGGGGTTTTATAAGAGACTTTGACTATACTACATACAGTTTTTGGAATGTTGTATAAAAGAAAATCCCTTTCTGATATTTCTTATTATAGTGAATAAATATCCAGCACAAAGTTATTTCTATGTGAGAACTGATGACCTACAGTAATTGTATATTTTGCTCAGATTTCAACATTATTTATAATGAAAACCCTAATATTACTAATGCCTTCCCTGGTTCATGTCCAAGCAACAGTCCTTTTGAGTCATGGACTTCTTTCCAATGTCAAGCCAAGAGAGACTTGACTGCAGCTATAGCTGTGCCCCTCAGAGTTCTCATCTGCTGTCAGGTAACAATTATTCTTTAAGCCCCCTCCTTACTCCAGCATTGTCCAGTTGTGTTCAAGACTATTTAAATGCAATTAAGTATCATTCAGGAAGGTTTGAAGATGAAGAAGCAGTACCAGTGAGGGCACCTTTTCTCTTTGACTATCTTTACAAGTACTCTGCTTACCTGCCCACTCAGTGTCAAAAGACAGCATTCTCTCCTGCTCCTGGAAATGAAGAATATGGCTCTTACATTTATTATTTTTTTTTTTTAAAGTTTTTTTTTTTTTTTAATAGAGGCATGTTATTTATTTATTTGTTTGTTTGTTTGTTCTGTTTATACATGCACTGGGTATAGTCAGAAGCGCGGGAGGGTGAGAGAATTCACCAGAGCCAGAGCGGGGAGCAGAGCAGGCAGAAGGACCGAAGTACACTGCTGAGGGGAGCAGCGGGCGGCAGGAGAGGTCTGCGCGCCATGTGGGACCCTCGTCCGGTGGCCGGGGAGCAGCTGGGGATCGAACCGGCGCTGCAGAGGCTGTGGGCAGCTTCGCAACCCAGCGCTCAACCGCCGCGCCACCGGGGAGGCCCTCTTACATTTATTATTTTATAAAAGATAAGTATATTAGAAATACATTGGCGGTTACAATGATGAGATTTTTACCTATAGAATAAATATTTGGATAAGGTAGTTTGCTTCTCAAAATCTTTGACACTTCCATTGTCTCACCTTTTTAAACTTATTGTTGATTTCTATTTGCATTTATCACAAATAATTAAAATTCATTTCAACTACTAATTGCTTATATATCATCTACTCTAGGCATTGTATTAGAGGCTCCAAAATAACCTCCTTGACTTTACTCCATCCAAGAAGCTTCCTATTTATCAGGCTAAATATCAACTCTGATAAATGGGATAAGAACTGTTATAAAAGATGACTTGTAGGTAAATTTCCTATAACAATTTTTGAGATACCATTGTTATGTGTTTATTATATTTATTTTGATCCTTGAATAAGTAGCTGAGAGAATCATGCTAGGAATGTTTTTTCCTCCAGTAAAGACACTTTAAGAGGCCAGGGAGAAATGTGGAATTTCTCCAGGGTGCTACTGGAACTGAATGTCAACAGTTGTGAAAGCTTCCTTATTAAACCCGAGGCTTTCCTCCAGCACATCCAGTTCCTCTGTCTTGTGCATTGAAGTCTGCTTATCTTTGCTGGTAACTCTAACTGGAGAAGCTGCTTCTATTGAAGTTTGAATTATTCTTTTCACAAAAACATAAGTGAGTGTGCAAACTTCCTGTCAGGTCACATGTCCCTTTGTAGTTATATATATGTCCATATCTATAACACCTAGACTCTTGGCACCGTTGAGTTTAATTTTATGGTCTCAACTAGTAGACAAGTGACTGGGAGATCTGCCTAAATAGTTAAAATGTGTGCTTTTATGAGCGTTGGTGTTCTCAGCTGGATGCTAAGCTAAAACCCTCAAATAGTGGGGCCTCCCCGGTGGCGCAGCGGTTGAGCACTGGGTTGCGGAGCTGCCTGTGGCCTCTGCGGCGCTGGTTCAATCCCCGGCTGCTCCCCAGCCACCGGAGGAGGGTCCCACATGGTGTGCAGACCTCTCCTGCCACCCACTGCTCTCCTCAGCAGTGTACCTTGGTCCTTCTGCCTGCTCTGCTCCCCGTTCTGGCTCTGGTGAATTCTCTCACCCTCCTGCACTTCTGACTGTACCCAGTGCTTGTATAAATAAAATAAATAAATAAAATGCCTCTATAAAAAAAAAAAAAACCCTCAGATAGTGATTCCAGTACCAAATACTAATGCAACTTTCTTGTTTCCTGGCTTTGTCATGGATGCAGATTTCCTTAGCTCCTAATGAATTGAAAGGATGTTTTTCTCTTAGTGTCCCTAAAAGAAGTAAAGAGGACTAAAAATGATACTTCTGTCTGGACAGAAAACACATTTTTTATGGGTCCTGCAGTAGATTTCTTGATGCAATACAGTTTTGCAAATTTGAGAATTTGAATAGAGTTAGGGACTGTGTTTACCAGCAGTCCACAAATAACTAACATTTGTTTACCATTTTGTAGTTTATATGGTGTTGACTTTTCTTGTCTTTTTCTCTTCTTTCTTTTTATGGTTCATCCTGTTCAATTTGAGCCTACTTCAATTTTTGTATTTCTCTTAAGAAAACCAATGAGAAAATGGAGCTTTAGAAAAGTTAAATGACTTCTTCATTTTCCCACTTCTTCATATTCTCACAAGTCATAGACCATAACAAGGCTTCAATTCCAAAAGTCAGGTTTATTGC